TGCTCCATGCAAGTGCCAACCAAACGAAAGCAAGGGTGGCCATGCTTAATCAGACAAAATATATTTTAAGTCAAAAATGATCACAAGAGTCCAAGAAGGGTATTATATAATGATAAAGGGCCAATTCACCAGGAAGATACATTAATTATAAGTCTGTATATACCCTAAATAGAGCACCTGAATCTTTAAAGCAAACATTGATAGAACTGATGGGAGGAGGAATTGCAATACTATAATTGTAGGAGAGTGCATAGGTGGGGTAGAGGGGCAGAAGGAGAGAGAGAATCTCAAGCAGGCTCCATATTCAGCATGGAACCCTATATGGGGCTTGGTCCCACGACCATGGGATCGTGACCTGAGCCAAAATCAAGAGTTGGATGCTCAACTGACTGGGCCACCCAGGCAACCCAGTGCCTTGCTTTCAGTAACAGATAGAGCAATAGCAACTTGAACAACTCCATAGACCAATAGACCTAACAGCCAAATACAAGACATTCCATCCAAGGGCAGCAGAATATATATTTTTCTCAAGTGCACGTGGAACATTCTCTAAGATAGATCACATCTTAAGTCACAAAATAGGTCTCAATGAATTTAAGAAGCCTTTCTTTCTTTCTTTCTTTCTTTCTTTCTTTCTTTCTTTTCTCTCTCTCTTTCTTTTCTTAATACCATTTGTTTATTTTGGAGAGACAGAAAGAGCGCACAAGCAGGGGAGGGGAGAGAGAGAGGGAGACACAGAATCCAAAGCAGGCTCCAGGCTCTGAGCTGTCAGCAAAGAGCCCAATGCGGGGCTTGAACCCACATGACCTGAGATCATGACCTGAGCTGAAGTTGGACACTTAACCAACTGAACCACCCAGGTGCCTCACCAGGTATCTTTTCCAACCACAGTGGAATAAAACAAGAAATCAATAGCATAAGGACACTAGAAAATTCACAAGTATGTGGAAATTAAATAACACACTTTTGAACAATCAAAATCCTCAACAAAACACTAGTAAACTGAATTCAGCAGTACATGAAAGGATCGTGTACTATGACTAAATGGGATTTATCCCTGGGATGCAATGATGGTTCCACATACAAAAATCAACTAGAGTGGCATGCCATATCAACAGAATGAAGGATGAAAACCACATGATCATCTTAATAGATGCAGAAAAAGCATTTGAGAAAATTTAACACTCATATATGATAAAAACTTTCAACAAAATAGAAATAGAAGTTATGTCAACACAATAAAAGACATATATGAAAAATACACGGTGTAGAATCATACTCAATGGTGAGAACTGTAAGCTTTTCCTTTGAGATCAGGAACCAGGCAAGGATGCCCACTCTCACCACTTCTACTCAACATAGTATTGGAAGAACCCACCAGAGCAATCAGGCAAGAAGAAATAAAAACATCCATATCAGAAAGAAGTAAAATAGTCTCTGTTTGCAGATGACAAGATCTTACATAAAGAAAACCCTAAAGTCTACACAGCAAAAGAAACCTGTTAGGCCTGTAAATACAGAGAACAAACTGGTGGTTGCCAGAGGGGTGAAGTGAAGGAATGGGTAAAATGGGTGAAGGGGAGTGGGAAATACAGGCTTCTAGTTCTGGAATGAGTAAGTCACAGGGATAAAAAGTACAGCATAGAGAATATAGTCAATGGTATCATAATAGTGTTGTAGGGTGATAGATGATAGCTGCACTTATGGCTAGCATAGCATAAAATATAGACATGTCGAATCACTATGGTGTATACCTGAAACTAATGTAAAATTGAATGTCAACTATACTTCACTTTAAAAGAAAAATAAGAGGGGCACCTGGGTGGCTCAGTCTGTGAAGCATCAAACTCTTGGTTTCGGTGCAAATCATGAACTCACAGTTCATGGGTTTAAGCCCTGCATCAGGCTCTGCACTGGAAGCACACAGCCTACTTGGATTCTCCCTCTCTCTCTGCCCCTTCTCTCTCTCTCTCTCTCTCTCTCAAAATAATAAAGTTTAAAAAATGAATCCTTAAAAAATAAATAAATAAAATAAAAATTAAAAACTTGTTAGAATAAATGAATGTAGTAAAGTTGAAGGATACAAAATCAACATTAAAAATCAGTTGCATTTCTATACATTAACAAAGAACTATCTAGAAAGGAAATTAGGAAAACAATCCCATTTACAATAACATCAAAAGGAATAAAATACTTAGTAATAAACTTAACTAAGGAGGAGAAAAAAGACTTGTACACTTAAAACTACAAAATACTGATGAAAGAAATTAAAGACACAAATGGAAAGACATCCCATGTGTTCAGTAAATAGAATGGTCATTGCCAGGGGCTAAGGAGAGGAGGAATGGGGACTGCTAATTAATAGATATAAGGTTTCAATTATGCAAGATGATTAAGCTCTAGAGCTCTGTTGTACAACATTGTTCTTAGAGTTAACAATCCTATATTGTACATATAAACATTTGTTAACGGGGTAGATCTCATGTTAAATGTTCTTATACAACAAAAACAAAAATTTTTAAAGAAAAACCTAAAAAAGCCTCCTCTTCCTCCTGCCTCACGATCAATTCACTAGAGAAGAATACTCTGAATAGTTTTAGTTAATAGTGGGGAACCTTTCCAGACATTAGCTATGCATATCATAGCTATCCGGTTTCTGGATTTATCCAGTTTCTGAATCAACAGAGATCCACCAAGTGTCTCTTCCATTCTAGGCAGTGCTCTAGGAATTAGAGAGAGACAGAGAGAGAGAGAGAGCAGTTTTCTGCCACTTACACATTCACAGAGCTCTTCCCCTGTGCCAAGTGCCATGCTAGGGCAGCAGATTCAGCTGAGAACAAGGCAGATGTGGTCCCTGCCATCGCGGAGCTGGCATTCTAGAGGGCGGGCAGACAAAAGACCAGAGGCACAAACAAAAGTAAATTAGACTGTGGCAACCACAGAAAGAAAGAACGAAAATCCTATGAAAGGGAATAATATTAGTCCCGGTGGATTAGAAAAGCTGTCTGAGGAGGAGACATGGAAGTGAAGGGAATTCCAGGAGAGGGAACGGCAAGTGTGCAGCCCCAGGGGAGGAAAAGTCTGGCGGTGACTGAAGGCCTGGGGTGTAGTGCATGCAAGGTGGACAGGTGGGAAGGGTTAGAACATACTTGGCTTTGGGAGACAGAGTAGAGTTTGGACTTTATTCTAAGTATAATTAGGTGTCATTGAAGGCTTTAATAGAGGAGTAATCTGATCAAATTTGTTTTTAAGTGGCCACTGGAATTGCTAGGTTAGTAGAGTGGGAATACCAAAGTTCAACTGAAAGGCTAGAAAAAGTAATAGAAAGTAAAGACCTGGAACTCAGTATATAGAAAACTCTTCCAAGCACTTATTCTGTGAAGGTGTAAAGTTAAAAAAAAAAAAAATCCTGTGACTACCATGTATAGGGTGGATTGGAATAGGACTAGAGAAAGGAAACATGGAGACAAAATGTGAGGCCATTGTGGTGTCTACCCAAGAGGTGATGGTGTTTGGATTAAGATGGTAGATATAGGACCATACCAACATCTGTTCTGCAGTTGGCATACAATAAAAAGCTTTCTGCTCAGGGCACCTGGGTGGCGTCAGTTGGTTAGGTGTCTGACTCTTGGTTTTGGCTCAGGTCATGATCTCAGTTTGTGAATTCAAGCCCCACATCAGGCTCTGTGCTGACAGTGCAGAGCCTGCTTGGGATTCCCTCTCTCCTTCTCTGTCTGCCCTTCCCCTGCTTGCTTGCTCTCTCTGTCTCCCAAAATAAATAAATAAACTTAAAAAAGAAAAAGCTTTTTGCTCTCCTCTGGTTATTAAGTAGACTCTGACTCTGCCCAGCATATAGAGCTCAGGGTACTTATTGAATAAACAAATGATATACTCCTATGATGTCCTGAATGATTTCCCCTAAAAACTGGCACCAATTAGGGCAGAAGAGAGAAAAAGCACTAGAGTTGGTATTTGAATTATCTCATGTAACAAATTCTGTTCAATTATTTTCTCCTCTTTAAATCCATGCTATATTAAATGGGGGAAAATGCCTAAAAACAGTTGTATGTATATGTTAATTATATAATATAACATAATAATATATATTATTTTTAACACAAGTTATCTCTAAGTGGTAGAATTTGGGGTCATTTTAATTGAATAATTTCCTTTTTACTCATTTGTACTTTTTCTTTATAGTTCTCATATATGATAATGATTTTAAAAACATTTTGGTTGTACTTAGTTCATGATAGACCTCAATAAGTATTTGTTAAACAAAGATGGACTATTTAAGCAAAGCAGAAAAAAATAAAGAAAAATAAAAAAGAAAGCAGTACCTATACATTATAGAAATAGGCCAACAAAGCAGAAATTGAAAGGAAAAAACATCTTATAATCGCCATTTAGAAATAACTCTTAATATCTTTGTATAGAAGATCCTAGTTTTTATTTATTAAACACTCATATATAATGCACAATTTATTTATTTATTTGTTTATTTTGAGAAAGAGAGAGAGAGTGAGAGAGAGGAGAGAGAAAGAGCGTGCATGTAAATGGGGGAAGGTTGGGAAGAGAGGGAGAGAGAATCCCAAGCAGGCTCTGTACTGTCAGCGCAGAAACCGATGTGGGGCTAGAACTCTTGAGTGGTGAGATCATGACCTGAGCTGAAACCATCTAACTAAGTGCCCAATACATAGTTTATTAAGATGGGATTTTTTTAAACCTGTTCCTCTCTCTTTTCTTCTACCCCTTCGTCTTCTTTCTCCCTGACTCTTTCATTAAAATTATAGAGAAAATTAGTTACCTGGTAGCTCAGAAATGCATGTCAGCAGCAAAGTGATACTTCTTTCAGGACAGAAACAGCTTTGGGGACAGGAATATCACTTGGTTAGTTAGTTTACTCAACAGAGATTTCCAGGCACCTTCACTAAGGGCTCAGCCTTCTGGAGAGTGAGTCAGCATCCCCCCACAGTACAAAACTGCATTTTCTCTTGCAGGCATTTTCAGCTTATTACTATGTGATGGAGTTTTTAAACTTTACATCAGAGGAAATCCCCACTCAGGAAAAGGTGATTGACACTATGGAAAAGTTCTGCTCTCAACCTTGGAAAGAGGTAAGTGACTAAAGAGTAGCTTTCAGTATTGCCCTGTGCCCTTGATGTCACAGAGGATGTGAGTCTGTTCTTTAAGTCCTGCTAACCTGTTCAAGATCCAGCAAACATGTTAGAGAAGCCCAGAGGGTGCACTTAGTTAGGAGAGAGTACATCACCATTTCTTAATAACTGGGCACACAATGGCTTAAACAAACATGGTCTTACTTTTCTCACCAGATGCCAAGTCTGGCAGTTGGCAGCTGCTGGTATGGGGTCAGCAGTTGACTGTATCTAAGCCATTACTTCTTCAATTCTGTTTTTTTAAGCTTATTTATTTATTTATTTTGAGAGAGAGAGCATGAGCAGGATAGGGGTAGAGAGAAGGGGAGAGAGAGAACCCCAAGCAGTCTCCACACTTCAAGCGCAGAGCCTGACATGGGGCTCAAACCCATGAACTGTGAGATCATGACCTGACCCAAGATCAAGAGTAGGACACAACCAATAAGCCACCCAGGTGCCCCTTCAATTCTGTTGTTATGCCTATTTTCTCAGACATAAGATGTAGCTTCAGAGATTACAGTTATGTTCAAGGTCAGAAGAAAGGTAGAGCCAGATACATCTGTTCCATTTTATAAGAAAGTATACCTTATCCCAGAAGCTTCTTTAGTAGTCTTTCTCTTACTCGTTGGCCAGGACTGGCTGGGAAGGCAGGGCGCAGGATATTCGGACTGGCTTAGAGCCTTAGGTTCAGAGTGAACTACTCCTAGACTGGGCACGTTGTTGCACATTCCCTTTCCCAACCCCCAAATCCGAGTCGTATGAGCATGGAAGACAGGCAATTCACAGAATCTGCTATAAATGCCATTATGTTAAGATCCTTTCTCCACTGCCCAGGTCCAAGGTATCTCCTCCTTATTCAAAAATTTGAAGCAGAAATGGTTTCTTGTCTGAGGCACTGAATCATTCAAGATCTAGTACTACCCGGTGAAAGTTTCCAGGAAGGAAAGGGGTATGGAGTCTACTCTAATAAAAAAAGATAGATCATTTAGGGGTAGTTCAAAACAGTAGCTGTTTTAAGTTGACAGGGTTGCAAATGTGAATGGTGCTTTCATTTTGATGAGGTTGTAATTAATTAAAAATGGATGCTCTTCACTGGGTGTTGTATAGAAACCAATTTGACAATAAATTATATTTTAAAAAACCCAAATCTAAAAATATAAATAAAAAAATAAATAAAAATGGATGCTCTTCTTCTTGGCACTGACAAAAAGGAAGGAAGGTTGTGCAAGAGCCTGGAGGGTCGGACTTCTCCCTCATATTCTGTCTGAGTTAGAACAGGAAGGAAGGGTATTCAGAGCTTTCTGAAAGAGCCCCTCAAAATACCCTAGCACTTTACAGCTTACATAACACTCAGGGAAGGCTTTTTTCAGCTGGTAGAGATCTATGGAGAAAGAATGAGCATTTTGGAGTTGAGGCAACTTGAGACAGTCCCAACATATGACTGAAGGAGGTAGATTAAGCTGCTTTTCAGAAAAAAAAAAAATTACTTCTTGTTCAGAGTGGAAGCTCTATAAGATGTTCTCTCCTTCTGTTTATTTCATCAGGTTACATTAGGTGGCATTGCCTGTATGCAGACCTGTAGGTCTGCTCAGGTCAGCCACATGAGGAGTTGCTTAGAGGCCCACCCTGGAAATAAACTCAGAAAGGCTTGCACCTAGGAGAAGTTCTGAATCATTTGGCAGGGGGCAGGGATAGTTGCAAAGTGAGAACCAGACTCTCACCCAGAGCCTTGATGTTGAGGTGGGTTTTATGTCCAAGGGGTTCATTTTTCCCAACTGCATTGTCTGTCCATATGGAATGCGTAGGTTTCAAGTATGCTTTTTAAGGGCAACTCTTTTCCTCCTGCTCCTATGTGACTTGAGTTTGAGAATATCCCTTCTAGACACCTTTGGCCAAGAGATAACTGACAGATGTTAAGCCTATGTTATGTGCTGAGAGTGAGCTAGATGCTCTGTACATATATCGTGCTGTTTGTCCCTGCTTTGGCAGGGGAACCAAAACACAAACGACACCAATTGATGTCCTCCAAATCCTTGGGGGTGCCCCCAATTGGACTGCTGAGGAGGAGAAGCTGGGAAGGTGAAAGGGGCACTTCATGCTTGTCTTCTGGTAGGTTAATTAGAGGGCTGGTAACCCTCTAATTTTGACAAACAGAACATAATCATTCTTCTCCTCTGAAAATTTGCTCATTTAAGATCTTGGTCAGCCTACAAGAACAATGCTGTAAGATTCCGGGTATACTACTAACTAGGATTTCTCCATGCTCTGGGTCCTGACATTCAATTCAACCTCATGGACTTTTAGCCTTTCTAGGGAAGTGCATCCCATTCTTGAAGACTTGCCATGTCCCTTCATGTGGGGGATGGTAAGGGGAAATGGGCAAGGAGGAGAGAGGCTGGTGCTGTTTCACTGCCCTGGGAATAGAAAGGAGAGGAGTGAGAGGCAGAGAGAGGAGAAGGGAGAGAAAGGCAAACCATCCTCCCATTTCAAAACCAAATGGTGTTGAGTCCACAAGCATTAACATGATCAGTTCTAGACTGATGAACCAAGTAGATGTCTTAGGCTTCCACATTTTTTGGCTATCATAATTAATTCTCAGCAGATTAGACTGCATGGCCAAGGTACATCTTTCCAGAAAGAGGAGGGAATAGGAATATTGTAGAGTTCAGGGAAATTAGACCAAAATGGTATTTCCCCAAGGGATAGGCCAGCTTTTAAAGCCCTATGAGTTGCAGCAGTTTCAAGTCTGGCCCAAGTAGATTCTTGGAATTCCATAGTGGTTTTTTGTTGGATGGATCTGCCGAGGATACATCAAATGGGAGAAGAAATCTTTCCACAAAGGAAAAACATAGTGCAGTTACTGCCAGAGGGGGGCAGGGACCTGAATAGTCACTGACGTTACACCAAGGTCTCAGGAGAATGTCACATACTGAGGAGTTGATCAAAGAGTAATTTCTGGGACTGTGATAAAAAAGCAAATACCAAGTTGGGTCATTCAGAGAATTCCATCAGAGCAGGCCAAGGCAGGCTAGGTATGGATTTAGCCTTCCAGAGGCTGGAGGCTGGCAGAAACCAAGTGAGAAACAGACCCCAGCTTGCAGTTATGGGGGGGGGGGGTTGGTTAGAGATGGGGTGTTCCTTGGGAAGAGAGAGAAATCTGGACAAAAGGGGGGAGTGGGCAGGCAACCAGGAAGTCCTCCACAGAAAACATCTGGAATGATTCCTAATACCTGATATATACTTAACAAATGTTCGTTCTCTCTCTGCTCCGGATGTCCAGAAGGGAGTGAACTGTTTCAAGGGCTGAGGAATAGGGCAGGAGACAGAACTCTGGGCTGACCTAGAGATATTCTGGCCTGTTCTCTAACTGAGGGCCCAAGAGGAGCAGAGCAAATTGTGGGCATCTGGGCATATATTTACAACAGGAAGACAGGTAAGGGTGAGGGTCAGCAGGCAGCCCTTTATTTTGGAGTAGAGTAAGCAAACACATGGAGGACTCAAGAAGACCCCTTTGCATGACTCACATGCAGAAAAACAGGTCAGGTAACAGCTGAAGAAAGGTAAGATGTTGCACTTTTAGCAATCCTGAGCAAAATGCTTTCTAAACTGTGTTCTAGAGCTGTGTTTCTCAAACTTTGCTGTGCATATGATCACTTGTGAATAGTATTAAAAAGCATATTCTGGGGGCGTCTGGGTGGCTCAGTCAGTTAAGCATCCAACTTCAGCTCAGGTCAAGATCTCACAATTCGTGGGTTCGAGCCCCACGTTGGGCTCTGTGTTGACAGCTCTGAGCCTGGAGCCTGCTTTGGATTCTGTCTCCCTCTCTCTCTCTGCCCCTCCCCCACCTAGGGTCTGTCTCTCTCAAAAATCATAAAAATTTTTTAGAAAATTTTAAAAAAGCATGTTCTGCATTGGTAGTTCTGGGGTAAGGACTAACTAGCTCCTGGGGGATAATGCTGCTAATCCATGTACAAAACTGGATGGTAAAGCTTTTTATGACACTCTTTCCTTAAGATGCCTCACATGCACTAGTTCCTTCAGAGACTCTCAATTCAGACTCTGGTCAAGAGCATATAGAAAAGTCTGATTAGGGGCACCTCGTTTGTTTAGTTGGTTAAGCATCCAACTTTAGCTCAGGTCATGATCTCATGGTTCATGAATTTGAGCTCTACATCCACAGTATGGAGCCTGCCTGGGATTCTCTCCCCCATCCCACCCCCACCCTTCTTCCTCTCTCTCTCTCTCAAGATAAATAAACTTTAAAAAAGTCTGATTAAACAAAGACTGATGGATTTTTTTTCATAGAAGATTTTTTAGTTTTTAATATGCTGTTGAAACTCAAGTTTCAGAAAGGATGAAAAGATATGCTGAAAAAAGAACCTACTTATTTCTGAGCCTACTTGATCATGGAAACCACTTTTTTCCTGGAGCACTTATTACTATCTCATAGAATTCAGTGGAGGAAAAGTGTCTCCAACAGACCCTAACCTGTAAGCCCCTGCATCCCCTGAAGGAGTGCAGTCTCCTCCTAAGGCTCTCTGGAGAGGCTAGCGCTCAGGCCTGGGTGAGCTGGGCCTTTCTCTTCTCTTGCTCAGCTTTACTGGTGAAAAGAGGGCCGTGAAGAGGTGCCTGTTGTACACATGTGATATTTCCTTCACTTCACTTCCAGCTGAAGACATATTTTGGTGACGTGAAGGAGAAGTACTTGAGTGAATATTGCTTTTCTGGAGCCTACATCCTCTCTCTCCTTCTGAATGGCTATCATTTCACAGCTGATTCCTGGAAGAATATTCATTTCATGGGCAAGGTAATTTGGGTACTTGTTGGTTTGTGGGGAGATTGAGTGACTGAGGCAGCTCTGGGCTTGCAAGAGGTAGAGTGAGCCTATTAAGTTTGGCCTGATATCCTGTTCTACCATTTCACCTCTAACCCAAGTTGACATTTTATATCAAGCCCTGTTGAGGATATCCTATCTGAGGACAGCTACCTGCATTCTCAGCCTCTCTGCTCAAATCACAGAGACTAATTCCTTACAAAACAATGAGATATTAAAGTAATATAACAGAATTTCAGTAGCCTCATTGATTCTGTTTGCAAGGCCATCATCCCGAATGATTATCCTGAATCATCCCAAATGATTATCATGGCTTCTCATCAGGGCTCATCATGGTTGACTAAATTGAAAGCTTAGTGTAAAGAAGGCGATGAGTAACCCTGAATGGGGGGTCTTTGTTTAGAAGTCAAGTTAGCCTGAGCCTTACAGAAGCAGCCTCACTGCTGTGCTTTACCATAGTGCCACCTACAGGTATCCAGGCATAGAGAAACATTTACGTTGACAGGCAACTCCTGTTTGCAAAAATCAAGAGCAGTGCTCCTCTACCTTTTCAACCCATACCCACTAATGGCAAAAAACAATACTCCCTTTATTAAATACGGTGATTTCAAGCACAGCAAAACACTGAAGCAGAAGACTATAGCAACCTTAAGAATACTGTTTTCACTATTCTCTTGTCAATGTTGACCTTGTTAACTCAAATGCAAATCTTTTCCTTGTTTTAATATCCTAGTTTTTTCTTTCATTTTGTCACAGTTTATTTTGTCTGTCTGAAGGATGTGTTTATGCCAAATTTATGAATTATTTCTATTCTCTGAACTTTGGTGAATGAGCTAGGATTTCTAAACCCTAAGTGGTAACTCCTCTAACTTTTGATTCTTCCTTGATCTTGCCCCCACTCCGCCTCCATGAAGGGAAGTCAGCTAAGGTTCCTGCCCCCCCCACCCCAAGAAGTGTGCCTTTTACAAATTATTAATTCTCAGTACTGGTAAAGGTTTAGGGGAGAGGAACATTTCCAGATGGAAACTGGGTGGAATGTAAATTGGCACAACCTTTGGGGAGACTTTTGGCAATATGTGCTAAAAGCCTTGAAATATGCACATCACTTTATCTAATTACTCCATTTCTAGGATTTATAAATAATTGGATAAAGTGGGTAAAAATATACATATAAGGCAGTTCATGCCAGTGATGATTCCTTGAGACACGAGATGATGTTTACATGGTACTGTTAAGTGAATAATTCTATATACAACTTAATTCCATGTTGTTTAAAAAAAATATGCACAGAGAAGTCTGGGAAGCCACAGCACAAAAAAGTAATAGCACCAAATTCTGAGTGGTCAAATAGAAGTAGTTTTAATTTTCTTTTTTAGGATTTTCTGTACATCCTCATTTTTCCACCATGACCATGCACAACTCATGTAATAAAAACATTTTCAAAATTATTTATTCATAGACTATCTATATCCCAGTATATTTTGAGGTGACTGGAAAATATTCCAAGATGGCAGGCCCAGGGCATGTTTTATCTTTAATAAGAATCCTTTCTCATGCATGTGTACAGTCTTCCAACTCCCCACAAAGTAACATGGACTTGCTGGGATTATTCCCTAGTCTTTCCTCTTGAATCATAAAGATGTCCTGGTTACATATGGATGAAGTTCCTGGGCCTGATATAGAAGTAAAAGACCAGAAATAGTCTTCTTTCTCTTATCCTTTGACCGGAGAACTTTGTAAGTTCTTCTTGGCAGAAGCAGGAGAATTGAGCAGTTATTCACCAAATTCCCTTCTGAATTTCAGGAATATAGCATTGAGGCTCCCCAACTCCCTTTAATCACTTGCTCTGGCTCCACTTTCCCCACAACCATATTCCCAGCTTAGAATGTAAACATGATCCATTTAGAGAACTGGATGTGGTGCTCTCTACCTGCTGTTGCTCAGTGTTTTGGATGGGATTGTGTGAAAGCTCATTGAACCCTGGGGCCAGAAACAACAGCCTTTCCCCCCTGTTTGCAGATCCACAGTAGCAGTGTCGGATGGACTCTGGGCTACATGCTGAACCTGACCAACATGATCCCTGCTGAGCAGCCATTGTCCACACCTCTCTCCCACTCCACATATGTCTTCCTCATGGTTCTCTTCTCCCTGATCCTGGTTGCAGTGGCCATCATAGGCTTGTTTATCTTTCACAAGCCTTCATATTTCTGGAAAGACATGGTATAGCAGGAGCAGCTGCAATCTGCTGGCTGGAGTGAGAAAAAAACTTGTCCAGGGAGAAGTTTCCTCCACAGTGGTGTACAAGGTCATCCTTCCTTGCTCATCAAGGCCAGTCTTGACCAGCATGAAGCTTCCCTGGCTTTTGCAGCAGCCTTTCCATGGGAGGTATTCACCACCACCTGCCTCAAGGACTACCCGGCAGACTTCGTCTCTTTTGTGAGTCCTTCCCATCTCCCCTTTTCTCTTTTATACTCTGTGCTTGTGTAGGTCTTCAAGACCTGCTGCCTTTCATGATCTTTGCTTTACAAAAAAAACAAAAAACAAAACAAAAAAACAAACAATCCTGACATTGTCTGGAAGAACTGAGGGTCCTGATTCCTGCGCTGGGAGGCTGTGCTGGCTAAAAGAAGAATCTCAGGAACCGGTTCAGCTGTACTCATGAAGTACAACTCCTGTTGACCATTTATTAAGAACACCATACACTGCCTCTGGAAAGGGCAAACACACATCTCATTCCCAGCCTGCTGTTCACAGAGGAGAATTTCCTAGACCAGACAAATATGTGCTAGGGCCAAAGAGTCTCACAAGGGAATTTATGTGCTTATGTAGTTAATACTTGAGCCAATCCAAAACGGGGATGTGGATGAGTTATATATTCCTTGGTGATGCCAAAATGCTAGAGAATGGGACCCCTAGATCTGAGATTTTTTTAAAAAGCTGATGTGACATATAGGCACTCAGATATCAGGACATGCTCCATAGTAGGTATACATGTCAGGAAGAAAATTCAATTACAGTGAAGAGTCTGGAAAATGCATCCTTCGATGTCTCTATTGGGCTTTTATTTTTATTGTAGTATAAATACATATAATAGAGTTCACCATTTTAATATGTATGATTCAATTGCATTTAGCATATACAAGTGTTATGCAACCATTGCCACTAATTCCAGAATATTTTCCCCACCCAGAAATTAGCTGGAGACAAGACCATCCCTAGGTAGGTTCAAACCATCAACCTTCTATTTAATAGCCAAATATGCTAATCAATTGCACCATAAGATATCCATTGAGTTTTAAAGCCATGCCATGTTTTACTGTCACAGGGTTTAACATGCCTTTTCACTGCCATAGCATTTACTCATCAAAGTGTGCCAGGAACCAGATCTGCAAGTGTTGTTGCCACTCCTATCACACAAGAATGGGTTCTCTTTCCTTATTCCATAGACTATTTTGTGGGAGAAGCAGCAGCTATGGACCTTGTCACAGAAACATGGAAAGGCCATGTACCTTCTTCCTTTAATGGCTGCTATAAGAGTTACCTGTTGAGGAGCGTGGAGTGGTGATGTGTTACTCTGAAGTTGTCCCAAACTCCCATCTCTAGATCTGGGGACAACTGTTGAGTGGATGCAGGGTGGGGGTGGGGGAGGAAAAGCTTTCCCACAAACTGGAAGCCAAATGCCCTTATATCTCTTGAATAACCAAGTCATTTTTTTTTTTTAACAACATCCAGGTGAATACAAGCTTAATGAAGCTGAGGAGAGGAACTTTCTCTTTTCTGCTACTCAAAATTGAACTTGTTGTACTTTGATTAGTAATGAGAAGCCAAGTTTGGGCATGCTGAAACTCGTTCTATTAGTGGTAGTGGTGTTGTCACAGCTAGTATTTATGGAGCGTTTGTTGTGTCCCATATTCTGTGCTCCCATACATTAAGTCCATTTTCTCATTCAATCCCTATAATAATCTGAGGAGAGCCACTACCACTCCCATTTCACAGAGATGAGGCTCAGAGACGATAAGTCACTTGCCCAAGTGGCTGACCTAAAGCCTGCAATTCACTTAACCCTTATTTTCTCTCCCAAATATACTAGATAGTCTCCTTATAACTTCTAAGCACACACTGAACTCTATGAATACAGGTATCACAGGCATGGTAGAAAGGGAAGTAGACAGATGACCTGTTCCCTGATGGACTTGTGATTTAATACTGGTTTAAGTCCACAAAGGCTGTCATGGCAACACCAATACTCTGTTCACATACTTTACATGGTGATATACGTGGCGTATGATGCTAATCAAGGATTCCCCATATTCCTGGCTTCTTAATTATAATGCTTGCCCACTGCATAGCAGTTCTGCATCAAATAAATAGTAGTTGATGATACTGATGAAAATAAAAAGTCATATAAATAGAGCCAACAGCAGCTCCTTTCTTCCTTATGTCTACAACACAAAGCCCTGTCATGCACATTCTCTATTCTGATTCTTAAAAAAACCCCATGAGGGTGTAAGTACCATTTCCATTTTATAAATGAGGGTCATACAAACTAGTAGATGGTAGAGTGGATATTCAAATTCATATCTTCTGTCTCAAGTTTATTGCTTTCTCTTTTCTAGAAACACTGTCCCTCAGCAAGTTGGAATTATAATCCACAAGTTTCCTTCAATAAACATGGAAATCTTTTCTTTTCCATTTCTGTCTTATGGCCTGGGTCCAAAACAAATGCATTAAGGTATCTGGGAGCCAAATTCCACTTGTTTTAAGTCTCAAATCATGGAGATGATCAGCAGGCACAACCTAGTCTCATTTCTGTTGGAGGGAAAGATGGTTTTGTGACAGATTCAGGAATCTGCTTTGGGTCACTCTGTATGAATAAGCCTAAATAAAATGGGTCACTGTCAACTGATTTTAATACTGAATTGGCCACGAATTATAAACGATTACCATTCCTTCCTGGCCATCCACCTAAACTTAGTTTCTCCATTCCTTTAAAAGGTGGGAAACTTTTTTCTATGGACCACATCAGAAATGATTACTTCTGTAGACAAAAGAATGAAGTGTGTGTGTCTGTGCGAGAGAGAAAGAGAGCGAAAGAGAGGAAATTTTCACCTTATCTGATTCTTAAATTAATAATAAATATAAAATGCAATATAAATAAAAGTTTTTAAAACTATACCTCATTTTGATGTTGTATTGGTCAAAATCTCTGCAAGGAAGAGATTGTGCAGAGTAGGGAACTAAGAAGAGTTTAAGAAAGTGACTGTATCCAAGGTATTATCATTTCAACATGTAGTTGAAATGTAGTTAACGGAGGACCAAGGGGGAAATAGGGGGGGAGAGGGAGAGAGGCAAACCATGAGAGACTCTTGAATACTGAGAACAAACTGAGGACTGATGGATGTGGGGGAAAGGGGGGGATGGGCATGGAGGAGGGCACTTGTGGGGATGAGTACTGGGTGTTATATGGAAACCAACTTGACAATAAACTATTTGTAAAAAAATATATATAAATTATTAACATTTGTTTTTTCATATTGAAGCCTGTTGTATGTACTCAGCAGTTATAGCACATCTGAATCAGGACTAGCTAAGTTTCAAGTGATGAACAGCCATGTACGACTAGTCACTACTCCACTGGACAGCACACTTCTAAAAATATGTTCAAAGCTAAAAAGGGGTGCCTGAGTGGCTCAGTCCGTTAAACGTCCAACTTCAGCTCAGGTCATGATCTCATGGTTCATGAGCTCGAGCCCCACGTCGGACTCTGTGCTGGCAGCTAGCTCAGAGCCTGGAACCTGTCTTCAGATTCTGTCTCTCCCTCTCTCTGACCCTCCCCTGCTCGCGCTCTCTCTCTGACTCTCAAAAATAAATAAAAAACATTAAAAAAATTTTTTTAAAAAGCTAAAAAAAACACAGGCAATAATCTTTTGTCTTTGTATTGAGGGGGGATTTAAAAACAGCTATAGATACTATAACATCTTGCTATTATTTATTATATATGAAATGAAAACATTATTCTTAAACCTTATTCTTCTTTAAGATCTCAGCTCAGAATTTCACTTTATTCCTCAGGTCTTGCTGCCTTTTTTGGGAAGGCAGAGCCTATTGTTCAGGCCAAGATGCATGATGAAAGACCTTCAGAAAATTTAATCTGGATTCAATTATTATAGGATATCTTCCTATATAAAGAGAGATATATATCCTATATATATCCTATAATATCTTTTTATAGAAAGATAATTTTGATGATTATATCCTATAATCAGATTGTAAATTTGAATATTAAAGGTTAGCTTCTTAATAGCTCACAAAAATTATCATATTATTATATTAAAATTACTATTAAAATATATTCTTATTTATTGTCAGCTTGAAAGATGAACTGAATTTCACCCAGATTGGCCTGGTCCCTCTCTGATTCAGATTCTAATAGTTGCTATCTTGTTAGAACAGGACAGTTGCTTACAGTTAGTTGTGTTCACTAACCATGATTCATTTCAGTTTATGTGAGTTTTATCTTTTAAATAAAATGTTGTTTTAAAACAACCTTAAAGTTTCCCTGGCTTACCACAGTAAATGCTGATTCTCATGTCCGTGGGTCTGCATATCAGCGGGGCAGCTCTCCTCCAGCAGTTAGGTCTGGGTCAGGCCTGTTCCATGTATCTTGTATTCTGTTATGAAAAATGAATGGCAGGGACACAAGAGAGTAAGAGGAAACATGGGAGGCTTCTCATAGCCTTGGCCAGGACAGGCCCCTCTCCCTTCCATCCACATTCTCTTGACCACAAATAAGTCATGTGACCAAGCCCAAAATGAGCAAGTCGGAGAAACACTGGGAGGAATGGCTAGGTCATATGGCAAAGGACATGGATGATGGATTCCAATACACAGAGGAGTGAAGCAGTGGGCACAATCATTGAACCCACCACAGTGTCTCCTTAACTAAAACATAAAGTGTGTTTCCTATAAATTACAGTCTACTTATCTTGACAAGGAATATTCTTTTTTAAAAATGTCATTACTTTCAAGGTGTCATCAATCTGCTACTTCTTTCCACAGCCTAAATCAGGATGCTCTAGCAGCTTGCAAATTAGCCTTATATTCCAAAATGGTAGATCTCCTAAGAGAACATGTGTCTATTTTCTTCATTTTATGTGTTTAGAACAATGTGTAGTTAACTACCCAAGTTTTTATTGTACATGAATCTAATACAACTGAATACAATTGGTTTTATCACAGGTATGATGGACTTTTTAGTAATGGGGAAAGGAGTACCTCCATGAACCTTCTCTTTAGAAAACTGTCATTTAAGACTGTACATGTGCATTTAAGACTATACCTTTTGCATTTCTCTTACTTTTTTAAAGTTTATTTATTTATTTTGAGAGAACAAGAGAGAGCGTGGAACGGGCAGAGAGAGGGAGAGAGAGAGAATACCAAGCAGGCTTTGCACCATCAGCATGAAGCCCAATGTGGGGCTTGAGCCCACAACCCGTGAGATCATGACCTAAGCCGAAGTCGGACATTCAACCAACTGAGTTATGCAGGTGCTCCTTGCATTTCTCTATTTTAAATTTAAGTCAAGGATACAGTGATGGCATCACCCTCATTGGCACTTGACGTTTTAATATCACTACTGTGTGTTGAAAACAAAGCTCACCAGAGAATATGGATCAGTCGATGACAAATGAGACATAGTCACCTAAGAAACAACATCATCCCTTATAATGAAGTTCTAAGGAGAAGGGGGAGGCAATCCTTGAGAGCTAGGTAGGGAATGGTGTGACCTAAATCGAACTAGGTTTAGGTTCTCCTCCTAAACCTGCCCTGCCTGAATTGTATCATAATTTACCACCACCAACTGCCTCAAGTAAAGAGGACAAGAATCAACTTCATCAACAGCACCCGCCCACTTGGCCTTCACAACATTTTTCAATCTGATTCTCCTTTCCAATTTTATTATCACCTCAGGAAAGACCTGATACCAGGAATGGTGGTCATACCTCCAACCTATTAAAGCCACAATAGGTTTTATAAAAAGCAGGTTTTGAGTGCCTGGGTTACTCAGTTGATGAAGCGTCTGACTCTTGGTATCAGTTCAGGTCATGATCTCATGGTACATCAGGCTCAGTGCTGACAACATGGAGCCTACATGGGTTTCTCTCTCTACCTCTCCTTCTGTCCCTTCCCCTCATCAAAATAAATACATATATATTTTTTAAAAGGAGGGTTTATCACATTGCTTCCTAACTAAAATTTCTGGTGGCTTTCCATTGCCTACAAAATAAGGTCCAACTCTTCAACAGACATTCAAGCTTTCTGATCCATGCCTATAAGCTCTCTCCAGGCTTACATCCCACTCTGTCTCTCTGACATTACCTACACTCAAGATAGTGTAGACTGCTTCTTCACCCAACACTGTTCAGGTTGTTTGCTCAATTTGGAACACCTTTGCCCCACTCTACCTTCAAAGCTCAGCTCAAATGCCTTCAGTGAAGTCTTCTTCACGTCTCCAAGTCAGAATAAACTTCTTCTTTGTGCTAGGGCAGCTCTTTACCTGGGCCTGTATTAGAACACTCAGACCATTCTATTCATTCTAGTCAAGCTCTGAGTTAAGTGTCTGAGTTAAGTTCCTCAGAGGAAGATTAAGTGACTTCTTTCTTTCTGAAAACTTGGCCTAAGGGGTATTTTAGCAGGAACTAAGGTAACAATCCTAATGAATCTGTCTCCATTGCCAGGACATCTGGTCCATACGATTATTTCTGGTTCGGTATCCTTATTTTTTAATGCTTGACCTGACCTACATCTTCCTCCAGCTTTTAAGGACCAGCTCAACTCCTGATTCTTCAGTGGTGCCTCCTTAGATTCCTACATTCATCTTTTCCTTCTTGGATCATGTATTTAGTTTCTGTATAGTTCACCACTCAGCACCTGGTCACACACATTACTTAAGTAAAATTTTAAGGATTAGAAAGCACCTTAAGTGTCATGCTTATCAAAATGTGTATGTAACTCACCTAAGAATTACTACTAATTTTTTTTTACTACTAATATTTTAAAAGTTTTTCTTATTTTGAGAGAGAGAGAGAGAGAGCACAAGCAGGGAAGGGGCAGAGAAAGAATCCCAAGCAGACTCTGCATTGTTACTGCAGAGCCCAACATGGGAGCTCCAACTCACGAAGCATGAGATCACGACCTGAGCTGAAATCAAGAGTTGGCCACTTAACAGACTTAAGCCACCCAGATACCCCAAAATAGATATTAATTTTAATAAAAAATGATTCAGTAGGTCTGTGGTGAGGCTGAGGTTCTCCATTTCCAACAAGCTTCCTGGTAATGCCACTACTTCAGCATCCCATGGAGTTCCTTCTGCTGTCTCTCAGGTAAGTTGTCATCTTTGGCCTGAATGCCATTTGGCAAACCATCCCAGTGGGCCAGCTCAAGTGCAATTTACAAAGCTTACTCTTTCTCTTACACAGCATTCCCCAAGGGTTTCTGTTTTGGTCAGATTTCCATGCCTCAGAATTTCTGTCTGCCTTGCTATCTGTCTTTGGGGAGCAACTGTCTTGCACTCACTGAAGGCCTGGTGTGCCTCAGAGGGGCTTCTCCCAGCTCTTCTGCCCTATATTGACACTCATAGACCAAAATCCTCTTTTCCATGCCTGCATGATATTACCGATAGTGTTTTAGAA